CAGGTCAAAAACTAGTGCAAGATTGGGGAATCTAAAGCAAAAGTGTTACCCTTGAAGAACACATCAAGAATAGCAAGTCCAGCCACTTTCTTCTAATCAAAACCAGCTCAAAACCTCAAGAATAAACCCTTAACACCTCCCAAAGTCGAAGTATGGTGTAATGGTGTGTGTTTTAGTGCAAAAGTAAGAACAAATCACCCTTTTAGGCCTTCAAACACACACAAATGAAGAGAGAGAGGGAGATATAGAGAGAGAAGATGTATATCAGATATATATATATATGTTCTAGGTCTGATTTTGCTGAACCCCATCAAAGGAGAGGAGGGGTCTCTTATATAAACAATGCAAAAACTAAGCTTCCAAGGGAAGCTATTCAAAAAGGGTCAAGGCTTCCAACGGAAGCTAAGCTAAGGGTGCAAGCTTCTTGAGGAAGCTATGACAAAGGGTCAAGCTTCCTCAAGAAGCTTGAGCAAATGGTGCAATCTTCTCTAGGAAGCTTGGACCAAAAAGGTGCAAAGGTTTAAAATAGCCACACCCGTGCATGGGGGGTAGGGTCCGTGCATTCCAGTTGGCACAGCTGGCACGCATTATGCTTAAAAAAGGCAAAAAGGTGGTATCGGCCAGAAAAGGAGTCCATCGGCCAAACAGATGGTTGGCCGACCACAACAAATGCCGACCGGCCAATAGTATATTCCATCAATGGCCGATAGCAAGAATACACGGCCGGTGGCCTCAACCCAGGGCCGGTGGGTGTCAGGGGTAACTAACAAGCTACTCTCTATCCTCAGAAGCAAAAACACAAGTGTTTGGTGCAAAATCAAACACAAAACAGTCGAGTCGAGAGATTCTGAGGCAAGGCGCGTAGTCGAGACCTCCGAGAACTCAAAACGAGCATGAACATGGGTGATCACCGAATATTCAAGCAGTGACGTCCAAGTCTTGAGGACGGTCAAAAATGGGGTGTCTACACCTGCCCTAATATAATAAGTAATAAATAAATAAAGGGTTTATTTTGTAAATAAATATCTATATATTAAAAAAAAAAGTATTAATACGCGGGTCGCGGGTTGCGGTTCGGGTAGGGTCAGAACCGCAACCCGACCCGAACCCGATTTTTGGCAGAATCCTTGACCCGCACCCGCCCACCTACCTATATTGAAACCGCCCAAAAGGCTGCGGGTAGGGTAGGGTCGGGCGGTTTGTGCGGGTGGGTGGGTTCTGTGCCCAGCCCTACTCTAGGTTGACTATTAAATTAAAGAAAATACAAAAGAATGCAAAAGCTATATATTTGGTGCCTCAAATTTATCTGAAGTATGGTGTGAGTTGCACTTATAATAAATCTCAACCATACCACACTTCTTATATGCTTTTTTATGTACCTAGCAATGATAATACATGTAATCATAATAATAATGCGGAATTAAACTTAACAGGATCTTAAATTCAATACAACTCAAGAATAAAACGAGCATACCTTTGTCAGCCATTGAATTAGAGAAGTTGAGAAAATACCCCTAATAGTTGAACATTGAATTCTTGGCTCACCTTCTTCTCTTTGTCTCTCTTAATTAGGATGACTATAAAACTTAAAGTGATGGAAAAATACTCATGATATGAAAGGGGAGTCACCCATCCTTATATAGAGGAGAGAAGAGGGCCCAATAAACTCTATCAAAAGAATTCCTAATCCATCAAGGTTTCCTTCTTATCTTAGAAGAGTGATTATATTAAAATTCTAATTACTGAACTTTATATATAATATTGACTTTATCTAATTATGGAGTCTAAATAAAATAAAACATATAAAAATATGTAGGCTATTGAGGCACACTAGAAAATAAATCCAACAATATTATGATTCAATAACATATTACCATTGCTAAATGATTATGGAAGATGTAATTATATCTTAAAATGGAATTCACTACCCATTTATAACTGGGAGCTCATGCCATAAATTGAACTTTCAAACTTATTTCTCAATACCTCCATGCGTTAAACTCACAAGGTCATAACAACTTGCATTTTCTGTTAGACATATTCACCCTTGTATGAATTGTGCTAAAAAATTTAAAATTCTCATAACTTGAGTTGTACAAATCTGTTTTTAACAAAATTGATAAGAGTGAGTGAATCAAATTTATCATTTGTAATTTTTTTACAATTCAATCAGCGATAAATTTCACTGATAAATTATTAATGATTTTTTTAAGTGATTTGTTATCACTGAATATGTTTTTAATAAATTTATTAAACCTATCGCTGCTACTTCCTCTGTGTCTATTTGTGTGTAGTTATGTTTCTGTGAATGAATAAATATATAAGTAAATGACAATGAATGTGAGAGTAAGCAAGTAAGGGTGTGTGTGTGCGCGCACCCGCGCGTGTGTAAATGTGAGTGAGTGAGTGTGTGAGTGTGAGTGATTAAGTGGTGGAAGTGTTGGCAGTAGTGTCTTGGTAAATATGTTATTTTTGTTCGAAAATGGCCGGGGAAATGTCATCGGAAACCATCGTTGGAGTGATCGTTGGAAACTATCATCGGAGGTGGTTGTTAACACCCAGAGACAAGAGTTGGAAGTGGGCACTTGCAGGCGGGAAAGGAGTCATAGTAGGGATGAGCAAGGTGAATGAAAGGTATTTTAGGAATATTGATAGGTAAAAATAAGAACATGACTTATAGGTAAATAAATTTAATTAATAGAATCAGTCCATAAGTATCTCAAAACTTAAAGCTAGGTTTTTTTCAGGCCTAAACCCAATGATCACAATTTGGGTTGAGTTAGAATTGTCCATTTTGATTCACTTGAGCATTTGGCAAGTTGGTTTTTAGCCAACGGTGCAATTACAATTTTACCCCTCATGGGTCACAATGTGTTACATAGGTTCAGTTGTAAATATTTTAAATAAATGGGGGTAGTTTAGTCATTTTATTATGATTTGACATCATAAACAAATATTAATCAAAAAAGTCAAAAGTCACTTTTTACCAACTTCCCAAATCATTTGTCTAAAAAAGCCAAAAGCTTGGTTAAAAGCCAAAAAATCACCTTTTACCATCTTCCCAAAACAACTCAAAACTTAAAGCTAGGTTTTTTTCAGGCCTAAACCCAATGATCACAATTTGGGTTGAGTTAGAATTGTCCATTTTGATTCACTTGAGACTAAGCACTGAATCTTATACAAGTTTGGATTGGCTGAACGGCTGTCTAAACTCAACACGAAATATGAAGGGATTTAACTCGAACCCAAGCCAAACTTTTGTTTTGAACTTCTTGTCCAATTCTAGGTCAAGCCTGCGCTCGAGTTTTACTCAAAGAAGTTGAGCTGCCCAAATTCAAACATAAAATATAAAATAAGAAAATTAGTTTAAATTTATGTGTACCGAACAATATAATATAAAACATTAGAATATTATTAATATTTCATGTTTATTATAGGGTTAATTAAGTTTTGGGCGAATCACACTAACGGTCCCTATAGTTTGGGACTTGTGTCACTTTGGTCCTTGACTTTTCAATTGTGACATATTTGATCTTGAATTTTGAATCTTGTTTCAAATAAGGACAACTGAAAATATTATTGCTTAATTTCAAGAACAAAATCGTCAATTTGATAAAATATAAACTAATTTGACAAAAATAAATGTCCAAAAAATATTATTGAATTTTAAAAAATTATTTCTACCAACTAAAGATGAATTTCTACCAACTAAAGATGAAATTATGTAAAATTAATAAACCTTTTAGACATTTATTTATTTAATACCAAATTAATTTTTATTATGTTTGGATGATGATCAAGTAATGAGTGGTTGTTTTATTTTTATTAAATTAGTTTCTATATTTTCAAAAGTCAAAGATGGCAATGACATTGATATCGTTATTAAATCAATCTATTAAATTAAAAAAATTCAAAATTAAAAACATTTTATATATTAAATATATTGATTACACATTAAAATCTTAACAATCACCCATTACTTAATCATCATCCAAACACATAACAAAAATTAATTTGGTAAACATAAATAAATAAATAAATGTCCAAAAAAATTATCAATTTTACATAATTTTATCTTTGATGTGTACAAATAGTATTTTAAATTTTAAAAATATTTTTTTGACATTTATTATTGTCAAATTAATTTATATTTTATCAAATAGTATTTTCAATTGTCCTTATTTGGAACAAAATTCAAAATACAGGATCGAATGTGTCGTAATTGAAAAGACAATAACCAAATTGACACGAGTCCCAAACTATAGGGACTGTTAGTGTAACTTACTCTTAAATTTTTGGTTTTCAAAATACTAAATACAAGTGTCATTTTTATTCCCAATATTAAATTGTGTTAATTTAATTTTTAATACATAAAATTGTTTTAATTTAATTCTAATATTTAAATTGTGCTATTTTAATTTAATGACCGTAAAAGCTCTAGCAACTCAATGCCAATCCTGCCTACCCACAAAAACACATCTTCCAAAATCATCGATAGACAGTTATATATGTCAGCCTAGGGGCTATTAATAAGAACAGCAATGCTAGGTATCATGAAAAGTCTTTCATAAAAATAGTCATGAAAAATTTATGACCTTTGGATTACACTTACAATAAAGCACCACACACTAATCAAGGTAATCTAAGGGTCACAAAATTTTCATGACCATTTTCATGACAAAATTTTTATGATCTCTAACATTTCTCTAATAAGAACTATATGTCGTTAAAATATTTATAATATCAACATATTTTTAACACATTCCAAACACTTTTACATAATTGAATACATTTTTTTATCACTAACAACAGCTCTTAAGACTATTTTAGCATTTCCATCATATAATGCTTTATGCTGCTAAATATGCACAGCCAAATTGATAGACAATCACGGGCTTGTTCGGTACAATTTTCTGCAAGCTGGAAACTAATAATTTGAAAGTAAAAATTAAAAGTATCACTTTCTTTACTTCTCAATAATCAAATTTTTATTTCCAACATCAAATTATTTCTGCCTTATAAACTGCGAATAGAAATTGCACCACACACGTATAAGTAACCTCATAAACTATATCCAACATGGCCATAATGCTGCTAAATACGTATAGCCAAATTGCAGGTACTGATACTGGTACTTTGCCCCCACGTCCACTACCCATCACCACTGTCCCCCGCCCCATCCTTCTCGACTCCGACGACAACTTTACCATAAACTCTCCCTCAACCACCCGATTTTTACTTTTGTCATCAGCACCACCATCTTCATGGCATTGCTCGGATTCACCATTTTTATCTTCTCTCTCATCCTCATCATCGTTGTCGTCCTCAACGAGATGAATGAGTTGGAGAGTGAGGCGACCATCGAGCCTTTTCGCCCGAAAATACTGGCGTTGCCTGACTTTCTCTTCCCTAATAATCAGTCGTCCGTCACTTGTATAGTACCTCTTCAACACCCACGGCATGTGCAACTGTATCGGTGGCGGGTACTCTTTCTTTCTCTTCTCCCATCGTTGATCACAATGCTGTCGCTGATACTTCTCTTCGCTACCACCACCGTCGATCACCACTTCTTCATAATGAGGCATTAGGTCAACACCACTCTCCATCCCAATGTGGTCTCCCATATCTGAGAACCATCTATGGGTTTGGAATGATGAAAAGGAATGCATGAGGGTTTTGGAGAGAGAAAGAAATGGAGTTAGTGAGAGAAACAAGAGGGTTATTGTTGTTTCTATACATGGAGGTGTATATAAGTAAGAGTTATGATCAAGAAGGGAAACCATGGAAGAGAGAAAGAGATTCACATATTATGATTGGATTGTTTGTGGCTTTTGAAGATGTAAGAATCTATATTTACACAGGGAATTTACTTATAATAGATATAAAAGAAAATTAGATAATCAATTAATGATGAGATTAAATGGATAATGGTTATCCTCAAATATGCCAAAATTAGGTAAATATAATTAGGATGTGATCTGTATTAGTATTACAAGATCAACTTCTCTCATTGAGTTTGAAGTCATCTTCTATGTTAAGGCGATGTTTATTTGGTAGATTGGATAAGTGTTATTATTGCTAAAAATTAAGATAAATTGGAAATTATAAATAGTCTTGCTAAATTTTTTTTATTTAACACAATTAACAAAAAAAAAAGAAAAAAAAAGAAAAATCTAATTACTATGTGTGGGATTTCAATAGCGATAGACTTCTTGGTAATTGTTGCTTTCTACTCCAAAACCCTACTCTTATTCTCTCTCACATGTTGATGATAAAATATGAGATAGAGGCTATGCTTGGAGTGGAAAGCTTAACTACATATTTTTAAAGCCTCAATTCTATACTAGCCCATCATGAATAATAGAATTACAAATGGGTTTAAACTATTCTTTAAACATATGATTTGACTCATACTCTTTTAGTACATATGATCAAAATATGTGCTATTAGAAATGTGTCTATGACCCAGTTATGTTTCCGTATAGATTACAATTTAATGGATCTAACTAACACTATTCATACTTTATTTAATAATATAAATATATATATATATATATATTTTTTGATCAGCAAGAAAATAACTTTATTAATGGAAAACATACAAAGTATGATACATAACATCAATAAATGAGAGGCTGCAAAAAGCATCCACTACAAAAAAAATGACTTTTTGCGACGGTAAAATGCCATCGCTAATACTCCTAATGCCGTCGCTAATACTTTTTGCGACTGCAAAATGACTTTTTGCGACGGCAAGAGGGGGGTCACAACTGCAGGGGTTGCAAAAGAGTTTTTGCGACGGTAAATGCCGTCGCTAATGTTTTGCGACGGCGCCGTGCAGTCGCTAATAACGTTTGAAATTTCTTGACTTTTTTGCAATGGCCCTATTTTACCGTCGCTAAAAATGTTATTTGAGACGGCAAAAAAATACCGTCGCCAATAGTCTTTTTTTTTTAAAAAAAACACCACTTTTTGCGACGGTGTGGTGCCGTCGCAAAAAATATAAAAAATATGAAATTTTCTATTTTTTGCGACAGTATAACACTACTAAAAAAAATACTTTTTGCGATAATTATGTTTTACTGTCGCAGATAATTATTTCTTAAAAAAAATCATATACGAATTTGCTACAACAAAAAAATTAATTACAAGCACCAAACAATTTTTTGTTAATGAAAAATAACAAAATTAACAAATTAATTAAATTTATAATAAACATTATCCATTAACCATCCTTAAATACACTGTACTAAAAAATTCAAGTCTTAAAAAAAAAAAAAAAAAAGAGCAACATAATCTTCGGCTACCAACACCACCCGCTCGATCATATCAACTATTCCCTCAACAAAATCTGCAAAAACATATATCAAACTCAACCAGGTTCCTTCATACTATAAAATGCTATGTAGTTAAACACAATATAAATTCAGAGAGACAGAGCCATTCTTCAAAGTGTGAAATCCCAACTATTGAAATTCTAAAAATAAAATAACATATGAGTTGAGTTTATTGGGGGCAACTGAAAATAAAAAGTTACTAAATCTTTTGAAACCAAATAGACTCGTCAAAAAAAATGTAATAACATAATTAAATATATATTTTTTAAATTCCTTCATTTTGTATTTACAAGTAAAATTTTTGCAGGGTTATCCACAATCTATAAGATGCTAGTCTGCAGGAGTAAATCCAGTAGAAAACCAGAACAGAGACAATATGATACCAAAATAAAAAATTCAAAATTTCCATAACCCATCATCAAAAACCTATAAATTACAGTAGATTCTTCAATCTCAGTTCCAATTGGACATCTAGGATTTTTTTATACAACAACAGCACAAAAACTCACAGTATCCAAAACAACAGCACAAAAACTATCAAATACCCATTAAAGAGAAGTGAAGAAAGAAGAGAAAAGAGCGCACCTTTGAGATCATGGGAGTTCCAATAAAGAGACTCAGATTTGAAATGAGAGAGCCAAAAGAATGTAGGGTTTGAACACTAAACTGGAAAATATAGGGAACAACACATTCGAAGTACTCAAAACAAAAGCACAAAAACTATCAAATACCCATTAAAGAGAACTGAAAAAAGAAGAGAAAAGAAGGCACCTTTGAGATCATGAGAGCTCCAATAGAAAGATAGATTTGAATTTGAAAGAGGCAAGAGAAAGGCAAATCTGATGCAACCATTTCAAAGTTGTCAAAACACTAAAGATTATATTAAATTATACAAATCTTGGCAAATTATATAAAGCAGTCCGAAAAGGTAATAATTCAGATGGAAATTGATATCAATAAACATTTAAAAGTACCTTGGATACAGCTATGTATCCAAGCAGGGTTGCCAGCACAGGAGTGCACAGAAGAACTACGATCTCTATTTTTTTTTAATTTGCTAGCTTACAGGCATACACAACCCTCTTTTCTCATGTTTTCTACAAAGAGGTCCCTGTATATATTAAAATTACCCACTACAGGACATACATACACTAACAATTTCTAAACAAAAGATTATTATAAAAAATTAATAATAGTAATTAGCTGTGGCACATGTAATTTTTGGTTAGATTATTATAAAATTGTCTCATTTCCTATACATCAATAATGGGCAAGTGATACAAAAGGTTATCAGAATAGAGAAATTCTATACCTCACATCTTTAGTATTCTTTTATTACCAGAAATGAAAAATAACCTGATATGCAGAATGGAATTTTAAATTAAAAAAATCAAGGCAATGGGACGATAAATTCTAATTCTATTTACATGGGAAACAAATTCAAAGATCCAAAGAATAATAAATAAATATAGAGTAAGAAGTCAAACAATTAATAAATAAATACAAAATAAGGCGTCGAACAATCCTAAATTTTACAATGGTTTACAATATGAAAGAACTGCATGAAGTTGTAGTGTGGAAAGCCACTAAACTGATTTATTCATTGTTCTTCCTTTCACCTCACATTCCATTCTCCTTGATTAAAATCATTTTTTCTCAGTTTAAGGCAGAATTCAGGTTTTTTCTTTTGTAACCATTCCATCGGTGCAATGCTATCAATCTATCTATCTGTCAATTAAAATCATATTGAAGAGCATCGCAGAAATCTCAATGTTACTTGGGCCAGGTTAACAAATTATTATAAAATTGTCTCATTTCCTATACATCAATAATGGGCAAGTGATACAAAAGGTTATCAGAATAGAGAAATTCTATACCTCACATTTTTAGTATTCTTTTATTACCAAAAATGAAAAATAAGCTGATATGTAGATTGGAATTTTAAATTGAAGCATGTCTTCACACCTTACACCATTCAAAGTCAAGACCTTTGGTAGATGAAAAAGCTACCCCAAAAAATGAATAGCAGTCCACAATGAGGGTGGTTCCACTTCTCAACTTAGACTCCATTAATGATCTGCAAACACATTGTAGATGATCATGTACAGCACAACCTTCACATTTCAAATATTTGCTTGTGCGAACGTCTAAAGTACCATTCACTAACAGATTACATTGTAGAACATTTGGGGATTACAAATCCAACATTCTAATAAGTTTACTGTCAGATGGATCTGTTAATAGGAAAGAAACAAAAAGGGACCATTAGACAAACAAGAGCATAATAACTAAATGATTTCGAAAGTTACAACATCATATTGCGTAGGAGGCAGAGCCCTTGCCCTGCAAATCTGAAAAAGTTCTGTAGACAGCTCCTGCAAAAGGCTTCACTAGTTGGAGATGCTCACAGAATCACTAATATGACTCAAAACAGGTACATGAGAATCTACTAAAAGTGAAACACGTAGCTCAAAAACCGTGTCAATATATTAGTATTAGATTTTGAAAAATGATTGGATCTACAGATCAAACTAAGCCATAATCAAACTAAGCCATAATCAGTGCCACATGACAACAATGTTTTGGATGACATTTGAAAGACTGATGCTTGCAGTTTTTCTTTACTAGAGTAAAAGTCACAAAATAAAATTTAATCAGTCCCCAAATCCAGACCTTTTTTCAGCAAAATGACAACATAATGTTTAACACTAATGTCAGAGTTGAGCATAAAGAAACATTTAGCACTTCATACACAACTATTTATTAATTTTAAGCTTCTTTCATATGTAGAACAATACAAATGGTAGAACACAACACTACTTAAATTTCTACCATAATGATAGAACACAGCACTACTTACAAATCAGAAGCAAGAGCATCACTTCCAGGACTATCAATTCGGATGATAACAGCCTTATATCTTTTTGACTCTGGAATAAAAGATCAGCATTAGCTGGGGAAGGAGCACAATTATAGACAAAGGAAAAGCTAACTGAACACAGAACAGTAATTAACTCAGTGAGCAGTAAAATATAGTTAGTAATGCCATAGCAATTCCTTAATCTATAAATCCAGTTCATCATTTAAATTCATGTCTTTCTTTATTTTGTTATTATTATTATTTATTTATTTTTAAGGTCTCATGCATCTTGAATCCAGCATCAGTGTTGCAATCTTGCAACTACATTTATTTTTCAATTCCATCTTCATAATTAGGATTTGCAATTTAACTTGGAACTCAAGATTGAGTATTTCTTTCTCTTTATTTCCATTCAATAGGTCTCCAGGTACTCAAACATTTTCGTGCAATTGATACTTCACTTACAAGATGGTGATCCTTTCATTTAATGAAGTGTTTGAAAATCACTTTGTCGTA